TCTATAAAATCGCTTGTTTTAATCGTTTTTTTCCCTCTTTTAATTTGATAATGAAAAAGTTGTTTGACAATACAGTAGACGCCCCTATAACACGGTATTTACGTTCCGTGTTTTATGAAATTTATGTTTTACGAGTTTTTAAATATATGAGCCAATCACAGCCTGGCAGGTATGCATTTCCAAATCACGTATAATTTTTTGGGAATAATCCACATAAACTATTCTATAAAGAAAAAAATTGTAGGATTATTTTCCGAGTGTGCACCGATCGACGACGCCATTGCTTAAGCTTGTTTTCGTCGTGGAGCGGCGCATGGAACAGCGGAAGCGTATTTCTTGATGAACTATTTTTCAGCGAAAAATGTGCTGAATTTCGGAAACATCATTAGAGAAGAATTAGTCGAGGTAATGACAATCTACATGATTGAAATATCTTCGTAAAGTGCACAGAGCAATAAATTTGATGAACAAAGGCATTAATCTATTAATTTCTACTCCTTAAACATCGTACATAATGTAAAATGAAATTAATACACTAATTTTTCTCTGTCTAAAAGTACATTTGTCATCAAAGTAAATTCCTAAAAACAAATCACTCATAAAATTAAACATTCATTTTAAATTCCTTCTTTATAAATTATAGTTTTCAATTTCCATAATGGATACCATAATAGACTCAAGTATACGAACAAAAATTAATAATTACGTACAGTACTTCGTGTTTAGAAATTATTGATAAGCGATTCCATTTAATGATTATAATAAAAATTATAGAGAGATCAATTTGTGACCATAGCAACATAGCAAAATTTTCTAATTTTATACGAACCAAGTAAAATATTGTCCGAAAACAAGACTGAAAATCGGTAGACTCAAGGCAATTCTCTTTATTCAAGTAAAAAATGTTATCATTTAAAGAGAAACAACGTTGTATGGGGTACATGTTAGCTCCAATACTTAATTCGGCAAAGGTATTTGGTCTTGTTTTCTGGAAACCGTGTCCATGCGTAGAAGAAAACAGAACAACAAAAGCTTATTTAGAGTCAATTTTATTTAAGTTGTACACTTCATTTGTAGAAGTATTTCTCTGGATGATGTGTTGCGCTTATCTGATAAGAATGTACAATATCAACTTTTACTTTGTAAGAGTTGGAAAAATTTATGGAGATTACGCATTTGAAGCATCAGTAGTATTTGCGTTTTACTCACTTTACATCGCTGCGCAGTTCAGTATGCTGAAACGACGAAAAATTCACTTTCATTGCATCGCCTGCAGTTACCTAGAAGAATGTAAAATAACCGACACCATAGAAAAGTACGCATTGCGTTTGTTATGTGTGTCATTTATCTTATTTATCGCGATTACAGTGATGTCCGGAATTACATTTTTCGCAGAAATAAAGAAACAAAACGGAACAGATACAGAGGCATTTCTTGTGTCTATTATCGACTCTTTATGGCTTATTTATTCTGCGGGCCATATCCTATATCTCGTTTCTATATTAGCAGCGGCTGTATTCATAATGCAGAAAAGACACCTGATGCTGTCCGTAGAAATGACAGAAATAACTGCTAAGGAACTTTTTCTACAGAACATATTGCAGGAAATGTTGCAAAATCAAGTTGAACTTTGGGGATATTGGAGAATGATAAACGAAGAATGGGTTGTTTTAATGCCTTTTGTTTACACGTGTTTTCTCTACGCGACTTCCTTCGTTTGGTACGCGACATTATTTGTGAAATTATACGCGACAATTAAAATTGTTTATACAACAGTATCGTTGTTACTTCTGTTTGGATTAATTACTTGCTGCTGGGCTCTTTCTAATTTGACATCTGCGGTATGTGATCGTCAGTTGTTGTTTGATTCTTAAAACTCGTAAATTAATTTTTTGAGCTTAATTTAGTTGTTTATTAATAACTAAAATATTAAGAAATCATTTTACTTATATTTAAAAAAAATTAGTTTTTACGTGCTATTATTTAAAGTTTTAATCTGAATGACCAAATAACTATATTCTGTCTTAATTCTAATATATGTTTGTTTATAATTAAAAAAGAAAAAAAGTATACACTATAAATTTGGTGACTACAGTTTTTTATAAGTAACAGGTAAATCAGAAGTTGTTTCATACTAAAACAATATTTAAACAATCCTGTAATTACTTAAAAAATTTTTATTGATACTTTACAGATGAATACACTAATTTAAAATTTAAGAATTTTACAGTTGTGTTATACATCATGTATTTTTCTGCAAATTATTAAAAAACAGTAGAGAATACTCCTATTTCTGCTTGTATAATATAATCATAACCATTTTAAATTATTATAAAATGGCGAAATGCTCAATGTTGAAAATAGTGACGACTTTCATAAAGATTTAAATGCTAATAACGAATAACATCTTAATTAGGTTAACTCTCTCGCGATATAACAGATTATCCTCTTCTATTTCTTGATCTGTAACTACCAAATTTTAATTACATAAGAACCCCTTACATAAAAGTTATCGTGCCAAATTTTGTTTTTTT